TTTTTTTTTTTTTTTTATACAACATACATATATATATTTCTTTCCCAGTCGATTTCAGACAGGCCTGCTTTCTGCTTCCCCATCTCACCTGATACTCATTTACTAATCATCTGTCGCACGTTTGTAGCTTGTTTGTCTTTAGCTTTGTCAGAATAAATCCTCCCTAGTTTCCTTTGTTCATGTGTTCAGACTGTTGTGCATTAGTTCCTATGTCCTCCAGTTAGTTGAATGGTTGTTGCATTTAAATCTTTAGTCACAGATGAACATGAGAGCAAGAGTCATTTTTAAGTTGGGGTCATTCATCATCTCCAAAGACATTATAAATTCCAATTATTTTTTTAAACAATATCAGTACCAAGAAAACCACAGATTTAAAAAAAACAGATGACCTACCAAGACAATCATTTAGCTATATTAAAAGAAACAAAAATGTATTTGTTTTTATTTTTTATTCTTGGGAAAACATTATAATCAGTTAAGATTAAGGACGGCTTGGTAACCAAAGTAAAGATTACATGTGAGTTCCCCAAGGCTCTATTTTCATATTATCTATTCATGCCTCTCTGCTAATTGTACGGAGTACCACAGGACCTCTTATCAAAATTTTCCTGGTAATGTCGTTTCATTTTTTTTTTGTACAACCACATAATGGTTCACTAAAATCACTTAGTGTCTATGATTTCAATGAGTGGATGAGTCAGAATTTCCTCCAACTTACTGCAGAAAAGGCAGAAGTTTTTTTTTTTTTTTCTTTTTTGGTTCCGAAAATCCAAGATTAATCGACTGTGGTGTGTCATTTTGGTTTATTTGCTCATAAAGAAAGAAAACTTGCAGGACCTCAGTCTGGTAGCATGCTAGACTTTGAAATGGTAAAATTTTGTTAAGATTTCCAACCTAAAGATGTCCGAGCTGGGACGGCATCCTTGTTAATCCAGAAGGACACCCAGGACAAGACCACTATCATGCTGCAGGGAATATAGGTCTGAATGGTGAAATAGCCCATCCGTCGACTCAAGTCAAAAAATATTGTCATTATGACATATTCCCCTGAAACAGATTAAGCAAATTAAAGATTAAAGGGTGGGGTTTCAACTTAAAGCGGTGCAAAACTAAAAACAGGAAGGCGATTCTGTCTTACCTGACTGAGTGTGTGCCTCATCGGTGGTATTCCTCATCCCTACAAAAGCAAACTGGTAGAGTCTCCAGTAACGCTGGTCAGCCACCTCCACTGCCCGCCTCTGCCACCGATATGTGATCTCGTTTTTTGGGTAACCATCTGCAGAACACCCCAAAACAGATGAAACAAAAGCCTGCCTCACAGCATCAGGTGTTGTTCAACGTAGCTCACACATAGACTGTGCAAGAAAGACGGGTGTAGCCAATGCACCTTAACCCCTTCCACTCATCTCTACATTTGGTCATAGCCATCAGTGTCTCTTGGCACAACCCACTATGGAATATTTCAAAATTTGCTTTGGGCAAGGTTTTGCTTTTGTGCTTTCTGGTTTACTCTACTTTAAGTAAGATAAGCCATTAATGAGACTGAAGTTATGGGATGTTGTTCCACATTAATGCAGTGGAAAACTAATTAGCTAAATCAGGACAAAAGAGGAATTGTTCTTCATCTCATCAGTTGGAAAGGAAGGGCTGTTTTTGATCTATTAAAGTGGCAAAAGGTCTTTCCTATTGTATCCTTTCTAAAGAGCAAGCAAGTTCATAAGCACATTTGGCTGCTATGGCACTGAGTGAACAGCAGATTTATTTTATGGCTGGCCCTAAAATGAATAAAACTTATGACTGTTAAAACTATCAAGAATAACTCATAAATATAAATACTTCAGTTAGGATACTTAATGCAAAAAGGCACGTCTCTGTCGCCTACATGAATTATGTACTGTGGACTGAATAAAATCAAGATTGAGATCTTTGCTTTAAATCAGAGTGGCTACATCCTTCCTTTACATAGTGTATGAGTGGTTGCTATTCACAGGAAACAGTATCAGGGCAAAGAAGAGGGAAGCATTCAAAATGTCACTGACCTGCTCAGTCACAATACATTTCTTCAAGTTTGCAAATTAAGTTAATTCCAAATAGTCTACTTCACTTTCGGGATCCAGTGGGCACACCTTTTTGTACCCCCACAGTCAGTAGCAATATGTGGAAATATTTGCTTCTATTTTGGTAATTGTTTCTTGATCCTGTTTATTAGTTTTGCGATTTTGGAAATTGTCTTAAAAATGCAGAGTGACACCTTAAAGGTTTTAAAAGAGCTGAGCTGAAAGCTCTGGCTTGGGGATAAGGTGAAGAACTTCATTATCAGATGGGAACATGGAGTGAAGGTCCTGCTCCTCTATATCAAAATTACTTGATTGAGGTACTTTAGGCTTCTGATCAGTATGCCACCTCAGAGGGAGACCCAGAACCCACTGGACAAATCTCATCTGGTCTGGGAATGCCTTGAAAGATCCCTGAAAGAGCTGCAAAGGGATTTCTCAGTATGTCAATTTTTACTCTGTAATCTTTTATGTTTTCTAAACAGTTGGCCTTTTTTTCTGGCTTTCCATTACCGTGACAATAGACTTCCAGGAAAGGTCATTTCTTGGTTTCCTTAGAGACCAAATATTACGTTGATGTAAAATATCTATTTTTTAAAAAAATCCATGTCCATCTACTACTGTACTGTAACACAAAAGGTCAGTTTAGGCTTGATTTTATCACAAACTCATGCTGATTTGATGACATTTCCTGTGACTGAACTGGCTCTGACATTTGACATAAACTCAGTGGAACATTCTTTGTATTTTCCACTGGTGTGTGGAAGATTAAGAGCATGAAAAGTCATGAGAAGCAAAAGCACAATGCAGGAGACAAATGAAGGATGACAGACAGCATGAATCAGACTGGGGAAGGGTGCAGAATTCATTAAGTCTGTCAGCAAAATGGTAGTAGGTGACCTCCTCTTTCTGCTGGTGGAGCAGATGATAGATTGGTACAGCCTCAAGCAGATGGACTCTCTGGCAAGGAGAATGAACACAGGTGTTGCCATTGTGCTAGTCCCTTGTTCTAGGAGAGCTAGGAAGCTGAAGTCAAGATGACGGGTTCAAAAATGAGAGAATGTTACGTTTGACAACCTACAGCTCGAAAACTCCAGCGGACACGAGTGCTCATCCATTGGAAAGTTATGCAGCTTAAGGTAACACTCCGCATTAATAGTCAACCTGATAAAACAGAATTGTGACAGAAGAACATCAAGTCTCAACATTCTTTTGTGTGCTTATTCTCTCACTCTCTCTGAAACACCAATAAAACAGACAAATAGTTCATGGTTTGACAAACTGGAGTTACTTTAAAAAGAAACACAGATGTGCACACTAAAGCTGCACAAACAACAAAGATCTTTAGAGTTAACATTAAATATGCTGACAAAATCATTTTGAAAAAATCTGGCCTGCAAGTGTCCTACCTCAGTGTGTACATGACTCGCCCATTACTCCACAGCCTCAGAAGTCGGTTGGGAGTTGTGATCCAGTGGGCATCGGATTTTCGGGAATTCCTGAAGAAGGTGTCGGGAATCCAGATTTTGCCTACCATGTTACTGTTAAGCATGAGCAGCTTCATCGAACTGTTGAACTTCAATCGGCTGTCGTACCATGTTTGGGCAAAGAAGATGTCAATGGTGTATTCCTGTAAGAAAAGGTCATTGCAAACACTGGTATCCATTTTCCAATTCGTGTTAAGTTTTTAGTATGCATACGTTGTTGTTTTTTTTCCAATTATCAGAACTTCTTTCACCACTTTTTGGTTGCATCATGCTTGCTGAACAGAAACACATCCTAAGACATGAAAGACACAAGTTCAGCAACCCTATAATAGTTCAAAATTCTGGGTGACAATGGATCAGAAGTTAAGGGCTCAAACCCCAACTGTCTTTGGGACAGACTCTTCCTCCACGTCGCCTGCTGGTGGTGGTGTTCCGAGGGTCCAGTGGCAACAATTGATTGACAGCCTTGCTGAGTCTCTCAGTTTGTCCCAGGGTAGAATTGGCTACAGTGTAGCTTTCTACCATCAACGTAGATGTGAGTGTGTGCACTAATGAGTGAATGTATGATTGCAGCATAGAGCACATCAGATATAAACCTACTGCTACACAAGTGTAGGTCATTTACCATTTACTAAAAGGATCATGTCAGGCTGCTTAGCATGCACAGAGAAATGCAGAGTTCCATTCACCGTTTGGCAAAAGAGGAGAAAGGCTTAATATCATCATGGTCTGGATTTAGAAGAACTAAGCCCAGTTCTCCTTGGGAGCGAATTTTACTGGTTCCCAATCCATTCTGGCCAGATTAATCTCCATTAGCAGATTCTGTGTGATTGTCCCCATATTTTGTTACAGAACCAAGCCTTATACTGCAAGCAATTCCATAGCTGATTGCAGACATTGGTTGGACCATCACTCCACATGCCAAACAATTAGCAATGAGTTTTTATTAGACTGATACTTCAGCTATTAATTTTTGTTCACCTCTTGGTAGGTTTGGTCAGATAGTTGTCCATCTTGATGGTTAATCCAACTTTTCAAAATGATTAAATGCATAAAAATGAAAACAAGCTGCAGCTAAATTGGCGGAAACTGCCTCACCATGTTGATGGGGTCCACTGGTCCGATACTGTTGACATAAACTGCTGTTTCAATCACTGTCGGCCGCACTGGAAAATAACGTCAGGACATGGATTTACATGTAACGCTGCAGGTTTCTGTCCTAAAACAACCAAGCTGACAATAACAATAATAACACTCATCACAATAAATAGAAATAAACTTTAAATATTAGAAATCTCGTTTGAATACTCAGAGCATGTTTCCTCTAATGCAGAAGGTGTTACGTGGAGATGAGAGGATTTTTTTTCTTACCTCCGATGTCAGGCCGCAGTTTGTTGTCGTAGCCCTGCAGCAGTTTATTGAGGATTAAAGTCACGTCACTCTCATAGACCTTTGGCGATAACACCCAGGTTTTATTTATGGGCACATCCTCGTAGTCTTCATCTTCCTGTTTACTGGGCCCAATGGCTGAACTGTGAAGAAGAGAGATAACCGTAAAACATCAACAGATATCCAGAGATTCCCAAAGTTTCATCGAAGGAGAATGAGTGCTTGATTAATCTGGTGAACTGAAGGTGAATATTATTGCGCGAGGAAAATCAGGCAGCTATACGCACCTTTTAAACCTTCAAAGGAAAGTAGAGGTGATTTCTGGCCAGATGATGAATTAGATCACATGGACATCAACCATCTATTAGGCTGAGAACCTTGACGAGAACAGATCCTGGAGAAATTTAAGCTGTGGTGTGTTTGAGTATATGCCAAACACGTTTTAGTTATACTCTGATGGAACATCTCCCACACATCTAACAGATTAAATCGGCTTTGATTTCTCATTTAACAGTTGACAAGCTGCATACATGATTTTATTAATTCAGTTGCTTATTCTGCTTTCTATAAAATATATATTCTTGGTAAAATAATCGACTCTGCTTCATTTAAATTTGACATATAATAAAATTAAAATGATTGTGTCTTTGTCAGGTTCTCAAATTGAGTATCAAGCTCACTATTATGTTTTTGAAAAAGCCAAAATGTGTGAAAGTTGTATAGCAATTCAGGAGGAATAGCACTTTGCTGCCTGAGTTCATTAGGTCCCTCATATCATTATGGATGAAGTTTGAGTCATGTGACTGCAAAGCAAGTCCTTCACTACAGTGCTTAAAAAGTTGGGATGTTCTGTTTACGCAAACATCTCAAGTTTAGATTTTTTTTAAAACATGATGCTTTGCACAATAGCCAAACCTCTCTACTGTTGTGTCATCTATCCATTGTCCCTGATCTCTTCTGACTCATTTAAAAGACATGCTGCCTTGTTCTTTTGTAGAAAAAGGCAACATTCTGTTTGCTGGGGCATCTAATATTAAGACAAAACACAGCTGTTTTTTATTTTATTTTATTTTATTATTTTTATTTGTGAATAACCATTGTTTCAGTAGAGTGATGGAAGCCAAATAGTTTGGAAGTGCCCTGATTTCCCTTCCAAGGCTTCTTTAAAGCATCTGTTGTTTCTTGATGGTGTTTGCTGATGTGTTTCAGTCTTGACAAACAACTTGACAAAACTTCTGTTTTATTGTAGGGGTGCTGATTCTGATCAGTGAATCAATGCATTTGATCAGCACCACTGAGCTAGAAGATTACCTCTTAAATCTTTCAAAAGCAGATGGGATGGGCTTTTACAAAGCTCTTCATTGTAGTTAAATGACTGTATGAAAATGTAGAGTCCACATGGCATTAAATTATTGGAAAACCTAATATCAATCTGATTAGTTTATTATATCTTATTATATAAGACACTCGATCTGAAAGAGGGAGTGAATGTCAAATTTTCAGTTTAGCTAACACAAGATATAGAAGCTGAAGAAATGCAGAAAATCAAATACATTATTAATAGCAAAATAAAGAGGCTAAAGGGTTCACTTCCGTTTTATGATTTTAACATCATGGCAAGAAACCAGAATGTTTGCTAACTCAACTGTCAACAGAGGTGATGTAATGAATAAATTAAATCTGCAATAAACATTGCTGTGCTGCAGATGTAAAACATCCAGAACATCTGGGTTCATCAGTGATGCTTCACCCTTGAATGCCAACATTTCAGAACTTTGGACCAACTATAATACATGCCAAATCATGCTGGATTTTTGGATTTAAGAGCAAGCTATACAGACAAGATTTTTAACAGAGGATTTATATATTTTGTTTTTGTTGTTTTATTGCTATATGAAAAATCAATTTGAATCTTCCATCCATGACTTACGCACCCAAGCTGCTCAAATCTGTAACATCATGTTTCTTTTCAATTCAATCTGACTATTCTCTTTGCTTCTAAAATTAGGATCAACCTGCCACTTTTTGACACAAATATGGAGTTTATTTTTAGGCCAAACTGCAATTCTTAAGGAAACAGAAGAAGTGGTCTCATGCAGTGCACCTTCTCAATATTCAGAGCATTTCACTTTTTGCACATTTTACGTTATGGTCTTATTCCAAATTGTAGTCCTTTGGATGCCTGAAGTTCATTTAAAAGTAAAAGTTATGAGTTTTCACCTATTTAAATGAAGATATGTGATCTTAGTATGAGTTTAAACATGAAACCTGTATTCACAGAAATCAAAGTCAGGACACAGTTTTACGCAAAAACATACTTCACTTTAGACTGTTGTTTCACATACAGTAATCTTTTCTACCTCCTCTATCAACTTTCGTAACATTGTTTAGACATGTATCAATAGAAATGACGGCTTTTGGATTCATGTTATATTTTAAAATCCAGCAGAAACCCACAGAAAATGTGTTCTTGCATTATTTTTTATACTTTTACATAACGGAATGTGTTCCTAAACCATACAAAGTAAAATATGTCCAACAATAAGAAATGGGCTTCTTGTAACTCTAAGCAGAAAATCCCTAAAATGAATCCAAGGTTAAACGTGAAGCTTGAATAGCATACCAGGTTTTCATCCCATGTGGATAACTGGTTGTCTCATTGTTTCCTCAGAACAAACATTCACTTTAATTGTTCCATAGATTGTGCTGTGTGAGGATGTTCAATATTATTGCTGGGACTCCCCAAGGGCAAAAACCAGCTTTTAGCTTATAAAGCACAGTTCTGACCTGTGCTTTTTTCAGCACCGAAAATGAAAGATCAGCAGTTTTTAGCTCTACACACACACAAAAAAATAGATGTTTGATATTGGTCTTGTGTTTGCACAATCAAAGCACAGGGTTGTGTCAGGTTGCATGTCAAAGGAAGGGTGCTTGGATTCAGTGTACACAGCAGCACTTCTGGAATGCAATTTAAACAGAGCTATAAGCAGTTTTATGTGTCTGCTATCTGATGAGTCCTGCTGTTTCTATTACAGACCATTCCACATGGTCGAACTCTCAGCTTGTGCCAAATGACGCTGCTGCTGTAGTTCCCCGCTAATAAACACAGACTTGATACTATAAGGATCCCTGCGGACCTGGCGTTCAGCCCGGGATTTAAGCTACTCTTTCCTGAATAATTTCTGATAGGCATGATCTCACCCATGACACAGTGACCTAATGAATAGACAAATATGTCTGTGTAGTCACCTTAAGGCCTAAATGATGTTGTGGTGGGGATACGACAAAGATCTAAAGTGCTGATCATAATCTAAAAATAGGCTCATAATAAATCTACACCTTTATTAATAAAAGAACTGGAGGCAGGACAATGGAAGAGTAAAAACTAGGAAGCAAATGTTGAAACAAGAAGAAAAAAAATAATACTATGGATTAAACAAATGAAGGAAAAGTGAGGGAAGGAATCAACAAATACAGGAAGCCAACAACCTTAATTATGAAATTACAAAAAGAAGTCTAAATACAGTTTTTGCCATTTCTAGCCTTCATTTATGAACAAAACTTCTAGATGTTTTGACATCAGGATAAAACTAAACCATCATTCTCCTATGGCACAAGGAATAAATGCATTTTTAAAAAAGTGTTCATCAAACTTTAATTTCTCACCCTAAAACACCAGACTGATGGAAACTGCGATTCTCATTAGGCTGCCTGTGGCTGATGCAGATGTCATTCACACCCCAAATAAATATTACACTCATGTCAAGTTTAAATCTGTTCTGACCTCATCACTGTCAATATGACCAACCATGCTCTGAAAGTGTTGGTAAAAGACAACAGCCTGCACTGCTGCAGACATTAAGAACCTAGTAGCATTTTCTCATTATATTTGGGAGTTTTCATGGGGTTGTCATTAGAGGCAATGGAGCTGGATGTAGCCCACCAGGGGCGCTGCTTTCAGCACTAAGCTGCAGTCCCAGTTCAGCTTTGATCCTGGAGAGACTTTAAATGATGATTAACTGATTCCTTGGCAGCTCTTTCCCTCTATGCTTTTCCTGTTCTGACTCTCATTGAGCTTAAATCAACAACAGTTGCTCTGCCAAAACTAATCAGAAAAGCTGTGAAGGAACGAACTGCAACACTGACGGTTTCATAAATCTGTTAAATCCACAGACAGGGGTCTGTCGTTTTTATGTTAATTTCTTTACAGTCTTACAACCTGAGCTCTGCTGAAGAGACACAAAACATAGTTGGCACTTGTCTGTTGCAAGCACATTCAGATATTTAAAATGTGATTTGACATTTTGTTTTTAATACTTTAAATCTCTGCCTAACATATTTTGTCCATGAAAGACATCTGGAAATTTTAAGAGTTTAAGTTTAAAGCAACAAATATGAGGAAGGAGGATGATAACTAGTTCATATACAAAAACCATCCTCAGATATTATGCAAAGTGATCAGAGGCACAAAATAAAAACAAAGCCATCAGCTAAATTCATTTCTACGTCATTAGTTTTTAATGAAAAAATTGGAATTAGTATAGAATACATGAAGAAAAAAAATGCACAGAGAGGTATGACATTATGCAAAGAGGCTTTAAATAAAAAGTTTAATTGTTGTAACAGACATTGTTTCATTCCTAATCAATGTCCCAGTGTGTTCCTTTGGAGCCATAATCCCAAAATTAATGGATCATTTCACC